GTAGACCGGAATGCCCCTCTGACAAAAAATAGATTTCGTGAAATTCCCCTGGAGTCGGTTAGAATCCCATCTTTTTTTTTTTTTTTTTTTTTTTTACAAGAAGACTCAGCTCATTCATTATATGCAAAAGGGAGGCGGGGAATACCTCCACAAACAACCCGGAAAGAATCAAGTAACCAAGTACTGGGACCATTACCCAGCTTAGGTGCAGGCGTTGGGAATTCTAGTCTAGTTGCAGAATGGCCAAATCCAGACGGCTGCACTGACATTTCCCAACCCTGGGAATAAAAAGAAAACCTGCCACAAGGCCCAACAAAGCCGAACGCAAACCCAAAATTATATTCAATTGCTAAGTAATTCTGCTTACCAAGCTTATACTGTATTCTATCTTCCTAGCCTATCAAACACAACTAATATCAGAGCTGTAGCCTTCACTAATCAACCAATCGCACCTACTTCGCACATCCCGCTACTCCAACCAACTTCTCCCCTTAACCCCCAACTAAGAAATACTACCAACTAATTTCCTACCTACCCTAGCCTAGACTTAGTCCGATTAGCTCCTAACAGCGGAGCAGATCTCGTATCCCGAGACCTTGAAGAAACTCTAATACTCCTTCCCCCTCATCCATCTGCCTGTCTCCTGGGACCGAACCGACAACCGAGCATTCAGGTTGGAACTTCTATGTTACTAATCTAATTTGAAAAAAACCATTGGTCCAACACAACTTTCCCTGCTTCAACTGTAGCCAGGGAGCCCTGCAAACACCATGTGTCTTGGAACCATCGTAATTCTGAAGTCGAAGTTAGAGAATTGCACACTTTCCTTCTCCAGTCCGCCTGGATAGCTCTTCGTAAATGAGCTACAAATGTAGATCTGATCCGGTTGTTGTCCCAGTCTTCGCCCTCAAACACACAGTCATTTCTGCTTTGCCATAATACCTTAAAGCAGACCGCTCGATATGTCTGTGCCACGTACCCAATTCCCTTTTCCAGTGGAAGATGGGAGGGTACTCCTCCCAAAAGTGCCCATAGCTTATCCCAATCAAAGCTATCTTCTCCCATTAGTCTGTTCCAGTGTCCTATAGCCCAATTCCAGATCCTTGTTGCTGCCGGACCAGAGGTGGATAGTCGATTCGAAAGCCCAGTGGCATCTTTTACAGGTCATGTCGATATCCAGCCCGTGTTGAGCTAGCCAAACTGCCGAAGGAGTTGCTGCCAAAGAAGTTAACCACAGAACGGCCGCCTGTCTTTGGCAGCTGATCAGCTTAAGTTGTTTCCAGCACCTTGTTAGTGTTGTATCAACTACTGTTATTTCCACATCTAGCAATCTGGCCCATCTTTGCCTGGCCACAAACCTCGGGTGTTTGAGTGGAGCCAGAGTATTATATCCTATCTGTTGGGTGTAGTCTAAGAGTGGTATGTTCTGACCCCCTCTCCCTCTGGCTCTCCATTCCCACATCTTCGGATCGATCTTCAGTTGTATAATTGGTTTCCCTCCTGCAAATAGAACATAGTCTGAATGGCCATTTAAATTGACACGTTTTAGAACCCGAACTTGAATTAGATTGGCAGCCAAATTAGGCCGGGGATTCAATTCATCCACAGTAAGATTAGACACTTCTTCTGCATTCCAACATTGGAAGTTACGCTTCTCGTCGGGTTCAATAAACATTAGTTTCCAAATCCTTCCCGAGTTCCTGGGTAACTCTGAGTACCAGGTGCCAGGTGGTTCCAGCTTATCAGTTGTCAGCAAATCCTTCCAACTGTCTGGGATAGCATAAATGATGTTGTTTCGTCTCTCCTGCAAGTACCAGACTATTCCCAGTTTCTCTCTGAGGGTGGATAAAGAACACCAGGTTCCCAGCGTTTCGTCCCAAATATCATCAATCCTAATTACCCCTTTTTCAATCCATGACCGGCCAAAGCTTGCCGGTGCTGAGTCAGCCTTGATCCATTCACCGGATTCAAATCTGATTCTAGGATTTTCGAAAATGGGTTGAGCTAGGACTTCCGCCCTGGTCACCGGATCGGTCCATACCTCAGGTCTGAGCCGCCGCCAGGCTTTTAGAATCGCGTTCCAAAAGGTGGATTTTAACTGTCTATGTTGATAAAAGTGTAGTAAGAGACAAGTCCAGACATCCATTGGTCTGGTCAAATTTCATTCCTGCGCGAAGATATGCTCAGCTAACAACACCCAATGCTGTGATTCCGAATCGCTCATTGCTCGAACAATCCATTTTACTAACACTGCATCGTTTTGTCTCATAGGATCTTTTATGCCTAATCCACCTTCCTCTCTAGGTTGGCAGAGCATTTCCCATGCCACCTTAGATATACAGCCTTCCTGTTCTTCGGCGAAGGGCTTCCATAGAAATTTCGCCGCTCTCCTTCGGATCAATAAGTACAGATGTTTGTCAAACGATCGAACTGTTCCTACGAACCAGAGAAGGGCAAATAAGGCTCCATTAACGACCATCGCTCTTCCAAACAAGGAAAGGTGAGGGGCTTTCCCCCACGTCACTAGTCTGTGCAGGGCTTTTTGGAGCAAGACTCCTTCCTGACCGTCTGAGCAGTCTTGAAGTGCAATTTGAACACCCAGGAATCTTTCCGACTGACCAGGTTCCAAGCGCTTCATGCCCCATTCAACTGCTGGGTGAAAATCTTCATGGAGGATCAAAATGGATTTATGCCAATTGATCGAGGCCTCCGACAGATTACAGTACTCATCCAAGCACTTTTTCAATGCTTTCAGTGATTGCGGGTTATTCTCAACTGCAGCAAAAAGGTCGTCCGCCAGGGCTTTGACCCTGTATTCAGTATGTCCAGTCGGCATTCCTCTAATGGTTGGGTTCGCTTTAATGTTATTCAACAAGCCTTCCATTTGCAGAGCAAATAGGAGGGGGGCAAGGGGGCACCCTTGCCTGAGAGATCTAGTACTCATAGGAAAATCTTGTGAAACTCTACCATTCACTACGACCGCTGCCGAAAAAAGAGTAGTTAAAACAGACCAGTTGAGTGTAGTTAAAACATACGACCAATTAACACGGTCGTATGCTTTCTCCATGTCGAGTAAGAGGAATGAAATATTCAGATGTTCCTTTTGAATAACCTCTAACGATTCGATCGCCGTCACAATATTGTCGAAGATTGAGCGACCTCTGACAAAGGTTGCCTGGTCAGAAACGACCAGGTTCGGGAGATACACTCCTAAACGTCTGGCCAACAACTTAGCCAATAACTTATAGGACATGTTAAGGATGGATATAGGGCGCCAATTTCTAATCTGCGTTCTGTCCCCTTTCTTAAACAATAGAGAAATCACACCTTTACACATCGAAGCAGATAACCTTCCACCTGTCAGAACACCATTATAAATTTCCACCAGACTTTCCCCCACCTCGTTCTAAATAGTTAAATAAACTTCGACCGGAAGCCCATCTTCCCCAGGGGCCTTCCCCTTGGCCATTACTTTAAGTGTTTCCCAGGCTTTTTCCATTGTCACCGGACGGTCCAGAGCTAGTTTCCCTGAGTTAGATAAGCGAACCTCAGTATTTGCCCAATGGCTATTCCCTTCCGATAGTGCATCTGTCAAATTACGGCCTTGTGTACGAGACGTTAAAATATCTCTGTAATACAGGACCGCATAGTCGCATAACTCTGTCAACTGTTTGGCCTTCGGTGCCTGATCATCAAAGGGCTGCTTTTCCGGAACCAGAATTATGGTCGGCCCGCGGCGCTTCCACCGTCGCACTAGCGTTCGGACCAAGCGCTGCCATTCCGGTAACGGGGGCATGTTCGGACGACGGGGATACCGTCGAGATACCACCCCGGTAGGTATGGTTTCCATCGCCGCTTCCTCTCATCGAAAGGCCGCCTCCAGCTGTAGGTGAAGGAGGTGAGAGAACCATAGCGAGTAGTCGGCGCCGACCTCATGTACTTCAATTCGATTTAGAATTGTTACGGAGAGTTGACTTGTCTTAATTTTATACCGAAATCGAGCAAGGAAGAAGCAAAGTGGTGGTAGGGATGGCAGAGAAGGTAGTAGGTAGAGGAGGGCGTTTCCCCCCCTCGGTGCCCGAGACGGGGGGAGCTCAAGGAGGTACTGAAGACGACGAGAGAATTATAGAGCTTGTCAGGTTATGCTATACCGAGGGGATCATTCCTCCGGACATTGACCCTGGGGAGATGACGATGGACGGTCGGGTTGCACGCTTCAAAGTCAACGTTGCCATTGACCGGGCAAAGGTCAATTGGTTGAAGCAACACACGGTGACGATCATATTCAAAGAAGGGGCAAAATTCTTGCCGAAGAAGATCAAGGAAGACATTGTTCGTGCATATGAAGATGAGCGAGTTCATGACGACAATTTAGAAGTAGATACGTTCCATCGAGGAAGAGTAAAGATCGAAAGCCCCAACGTGGTTTCGTACGTGGCCAAGAATCCGATTATCGCCTTGTGGATGGTCAGTAAAGGGCACAATAGCCTGACAATGGGAGCATCAGAATGTAAATTGGAGTTTAAACCGTGGTTAACCAAGGCACAGTTGGCAGAGCAAAGGAGAATTGAAGACCATCTTACCTTCTGGGTGATAGCAGTTCAGGTTCCACTCGAAGCGATGTTATGCCTGGAAGCCCAGATTAAGAAAGCCATCGGACCGGTGGTGCGGAGACATCCCACGGAACCAGACAGACAGAGGCCGACGCTGGTTAATGTCAAGTTTGACTTAGAACCAAGCGCAAGGCCTAACATGAAGGATGTTCTGCGGATTGAAACGTTCGAAGGAGACCAGTTGGAAGTTAAATTGGCCTCATCGGAAACACCGAAGTGCAGAAGATGTCGGGCCTTCTTTCATACTAAAGATCAATGCAGAAGGGCGGCAAATCAGCCACAATCGAACCACGGTGGAGATTGGGGTGGCGGCAACCCCTTGTCATACGATGGACCGATGGCTCATCCAGGCACATCAGCTCGTATTGATCCGGCGCTCTCAGGAACGACCACTCCAGCTCCAGGCTCACCGATGCAAGGAACCATACAGCAAAGTGGAACTCTCCCACAGGGTGGGATTCATCATGGTGCCGTTACTCAGAACGGTGCTCAAGGCGGAGTATCTCAAGCAGTGCTGCAACAGAATGTGCTTTTGCAAGCGGCCGCACAACAGGGAGGCATGCCACAGGGCTTTCAACCATACGTCAACCCAATGTTCTCCCCCGCCATGGATAGTGGAGGAGGAGGCATGGGATGGGGAGCAGGACAATTTGGGAGTTGGTTGCCTCCGTCATTCGTTCAGCAACAAGGCCTGCGACAATTTCAGTCATATGCACCGTACATACTGAGAGGAGAACCGTCTAGTCTCTTGGGCGGTAATCTTGGTATGCCAGCAGGGTACGGCAACCTTGGGGGTGACCAGCCAATGGGAGCACACGAGAAGGCCACTGGGGGAGAAGCGGAACCACGATCAGCAGTGCCGGAACCAAGTTCAGGTAGGCCTGCCCAAAATCACTCAGGAGCAAGGGAAAACTCCCCGGCTCCATCTGGCCATGTTTCAAGGAGTGGTTTCTCTGGCAAGCAGAGAAGACTGAGTCTGGAGGACAGTGTAGGTAACCTTGTAGGATTTTTGGAAAGGGAAGGATCGATGTCTTCTTCCAAATCAGACCACTCTCACACACCGGAGATTACCACACCGGGCAAGAAAACTACTCGCTGGAGAAATTCGATAGCATCCTTGGGAAAGGGACAAATCCAGAACGTCGAAAGACGTATCATGCCCATGTTTTGCACTATGTCTCGAGGGGCTATGTGGGCACTCACTTGGGTAGGGTTAGATGGAATCCCCTCGTTTAACACTTTGATCTCTCTGGAATCCCCCATGCCCACTCATATCACATCCCTAATACAATCGGCGATAAATGACAAATTTTTGTTTCGGTTTGTTGGTGAAGAGCTGATGCCACGAATAATTGTTGACAGTCCAGAAGGGGGAGGAAAGAAGCTCAAGCTCTTTATCCCCATTCTGGATGTTGGATTAGCAGCTGGGCAGTTGGAAATGCTTGAGACTGAAGGTCTGCGTCTTATCCTATTAATCTAGATTCAGGAAGGCCGTCGTCAAGAGTTATGTCGGTTAAGAGTCCCGCCTTTTAAGACCGCAGAATGCCTCGTGGAACTTGAAGGAAAATTACCAAGAGAGAAGAAACTGGGCTCTGCGTTTCTCCAGAATGCATTATCCAGACCTTGGTTAGTCGGTACTCAGAGAATGCATCAATCGATCTCGGGTAATTCTAACTCTCCTCATGTCCAATCAACAGGAGGAAATTTGCAGGGAAATGCCTAAACTAAAGATCGCCACGTGGAACTTGAGGGGCCTTGGTGATACAGGGGATAGGAGGAAAAAGAAACGTTTGAAGACATGAATTTTTGAAAATAATGTTCAAATTGTCTATCTTTAGGAAACGAAGCTTAACGAAGAAAAGATTAACGAATTAGGTGGTTGGTAGGACGACCCCCAAATCTGGTCCCTGACAAGGGGATCCAGAGGAGGTGTAGCGATTTTATGTCATAGGCATCTTGAGATGGAAATTATGGATTCTTATGCGGACATATGGGGACGTTGGGCATGGATAAAGCTCCTCATTGCTGACAAAGAATGAATTATCACCACTATTTATGCACCAACTGCTGTTAATGAACGGGCCAGTTTTTTTGAGGAATTATGGTATATTATTCTGAAAGGAGACTATACGATTATCACGGGGGACTGGAACACTTCGCTGGATCTGATTGGAACAAGACAGGTTGAAAAATGTCCTAAAGATAAGTTGGTCTTAACCTCCGTTATGGAGGAAAGGAATCTCATCGAACCGTATAGACTGACATACCAGGAAGAAGAGAGTTTCACTTGGTTTTCTAACCAAAAGGCAGATGGTGGGATCACGAGCTGTAGGTTGGATTTTTTTCTTATGTCAGTCACACTATGGGAATCCTTGGATTTCGTGAAGGAGACCCCACAACCTTTCTCGGATCATAAATCGGTCGTACTCTCCCTACATCTAACTGGTGTTGAGAGAGAGAAAGGTATATTTCGCTTCAATACTCAGAATCTACAGGACCCTGGGTTAGTAGATTGGATGAAGCGTTTTTGGATTAGCTGGCAGGAGACCAAGCCATCCTTTGCCTCGGTAGATCGTTGGTGGGATTCTGGAGTTAAAGTCTTTTCTAACCTATTGTCTATGTATTCCAAAATTTTGGCATGTTCAAGGAATAAAACTGAATATCACCTGTTAAAACGGGTTGAATATGTCGAAAATAGAATGAATGAACATCTGGTTTCACAGAAAGTGTGGGGAAAGGAACGTATTCGTCTTATAAGCGAATGGGAGGACATTCAAGTCAATAAATCTGAAACTTGGTCCGAAAGACTACGGATTAAAGGAATTGCAGTGTATGACAGAATCTCCAAAGAGTCATTCCTGAAATTGCTCCCATCACGCTCAGCGATAGCTATGAAAGAGCTGACACACCCATTTGAGAATCCCATCTTTGCAATACACCCCTACGGGGTACCGTCCAACTTTGCAAAATGCCCCAGTACTTGCCCTTGAAACCTTCAGCGTCAATTCAACTTTTCAACGTAGGTGGTCGTTCGGGAGGGTGTGCAATTTTGAGGCGAGGGTTTAGCAAGGGGTGGGGCAAGGACCGGTAGCAGCCCGTAGGAGGCTGCGGAGGCCGCGGTCCTTGAGTTGGACATTTCAAAATTGAAACAGCATGGGAGGCCGAGGAGGTTGCGGTCGTCCACTTTTCTCCAATAGAAGAGCACGTCGAATGGAACATGTGTGTGCTGTATTCGAATTCAACTTGTGCCCGTTTTATTCAAATTTCGCAAAAAAAAAACAAGTCTATTCCAATAGAACATTACCTTCTCCATTATTTTTTCGGAGGTCAGCGCCTGCCCTTGTGCTCCCCGCCACTTGCATGCTGCATGCTGCAGGGTTCTCTCTCTCTCTCTCTCTCTCTCTCTCTCTCTCTCTCTCTCTCTCTCTCTCTCATACACACACACACACTCACTCTCACATACACACATGCACTCACGCATACACACATTCTCTTGTCTATTGGTGGGAAGGGGCACCTGCTCGAAACTGGGTCCAGCATCACATGAACATCGTGAATAAAGCACCAGTTGGGACCCCATAGACACAAAAAACTCGAATATAGCAAACATGACAAAACATATACACAGCATAATCACTACCTTACCCTTCCCCAGCCACATCAACAAACAAACTACGGGTGCACCCGTGCCCTCACGGTAAGTCAATATGTATTGGGATGGAAAATAGGTCCAAATGTGTCTAAAATGTTAGCGTTTGGCAAGCGGTGCGGCAAACCCTCATTTTTTTATTTTGTTTTTCCCGATGAAAGGTAGCTTTATTTCCAAATCATAAAAGGAGGCTCGACATTTCAACCCGAAGGAAAAACTGAGGCCAATAACCCAGCTTAGGCTTGTACTGGAAACCGGGTCCAGTGCCCCATAAAGCCTCTTTCAGGAAAAAAAAAAAAAAACGGCAACTGGACTAATAAATTATAAAAGACATAAAGGAAGAAAACTGGGATGGGGGTGGAGGATCCCGTAAGTGGGATTTAGTGATTCAGAAACCGTGAGAACTCGGTCGATAGCCTACTTAAAGGCTCTACCGCCTGTAGATCATGCTTTCAACAGCCACTTAACAATTTCTAATTTGCCTTCTCTGTTGATGTTGGCAAATTTGTCCTCAAGCGCCCATGTCTTGCTCACACGAAGCGGGCCCTTGGATTTCCACTCGCCGAAAATTGTGATCCGAACTTATGACAATATACGGTTAAATGTATGTTTGAGGTCATTTCCTTCGCCCTTGAAGAGGAGATCGTTTCTACGCTGCCATATGGCTTCGAGGACAATACCCCTGCAAGTGTGGACGATATATAGGATTACTTTTGATGGAGGGCCAAAAGTCTCAAACTTACCATGCAAGATGAAATCGTCTGACCAATCTTCTGGTGGGAGGCCCAGGAGCCTCCACCTTTTCTTCCACCATTCCCAGCAGGCCACTGAATCTGGACAGTATCTTCATAGATGAGGGGCGTTTTCCCACGCCCAATTGCATCCGTCTGAACAATTTACTGTTTCAACGAGTGGTATTCTCTCTTCCTTTCCTACACCGTTCATTGGACTTTTATATGGGTGAACCCATTCCTAAGCCTACATGCAATCAACTCTGGGAGAGAAAGAGAGAGAGAGAGAGAGAGAGAGAGAGAGAGAGAGAGAGAGAGACTGTCATCGTACAATTGGTAATAACAATATGTACGTCAGAAAAATAGACATCTATAATCAAGTTTGGGTAGCTGCATCGAGGATGTGGTCGAATTCCTCCTCCATATCTGAAGAGACACCCTCTGACACTCAAGAGTTTCAACATACACCCTCTGACAAACAGTCATCAAACAATAATTAAATAAAATAAATAAAGTAAATCCCCATAATAAAATAATAAAAAATATTAGCAGTTCTCCACACCTAAGAGTTATTGATTGCCTTGGTTTTGGCTCACCACTGGTCAGGGGTGACAGACCTCCCGTTAGTCCGCCAGTCTGACATCCCTCATTCGGCCCGCCTCAGGCCAGGACTAGTCAGACCATTTGTCTTGACAACCTCTTTAACCTACCTCCAGGTCAGGACCACTATACCCACTACTCGAGTATGACGACCCTTTGGCGCACCTCACGTCAGGACACCCAGACTATAGTGGGTTTGGTCACCTTGTGATAATAGACCTCCCGCCAGTCCAACTGTCCCGTACCCGGATTGACCACTGCGGTCGTGAACCGGCTCACCCACCAGTTTTTTGTCTATGGCGCTGACTACCCCGCCAATATTTTTTAACGTGAAACCCGGTCTAACTAATGTTCCAGACTCTGGCGAACCTCACTGGATTGCATCCTCTGACTGTTGTAGGGTTCCAGTTGACCCTTATTGACCTCACAGGGCAGACTCCCGGAGTCTTAGCCTCAGTCAACTACAAAATTCGACACTCGCGTCGGGGACCTGCTGAACCCACCAAATGGCAACCTACGGCGGTAAGGCTCTGGCTAGCCCTGACAATTAATGCGTCTTTGGGTTAGAGAAGAAGACCCCAGACATAGACAACCAAACAAAACATATCAAATCCACAGTCAGACAGCCCATGCCCCAGACAAACATTTATCAAGAGAGTTCCCTTCGATCTCAAGAGGCACTAAACAACAACAACAAACGGTCGACTGTGCATTTCTTAGAGACCCCCTCTCAGCCTTAGAAAATATAGAGGGGTGATCCCATAAAGATCCCTTCCCTCATATGGGAATACTTCCAAGAGACATCCCATCAGTCTCAATGAAGTATAAAGATACTGGCCCCATAGAGGTCTCTTCCATCGTCTGAGACAAAAGATAGATAACTTAGTCAAAAAACACGAAGTCCCTCTACCGACAACTCTCTGGTCAAGCAAGGTCGAATTTTTTTATGCCTATCTTATTGACAGTTCTTTGGACAGGTAATGCAGTTAAAAGACACGAAGTCCGTCGACTGACAACTCTCTAGTCAAATAGAGTTGAACCTCTTTATGTCTGTCAGACTCTCTCTTCGTTACAAGAAATTAATACTGATTACTCTTTGATATGTCACAGCCACGAGTTCTTTGAATTCGATACTGCATCAATACTTAGAAGAATGATCTCTCATTACTCTCTCGCTACAACTGCACCTTACAGTTGTATCTCACTAAGGGATCTGATACTCGTGGATCGATTGTAGCTCTACATCAAGGACACTTTGATCTCATTGATTCTGTCACTTGTAGAAATAATAAAACCAATTCAGCTGCAGAAACGAATATGTATCATCAGGAATGTCTCTCTCAAGTCACCCATGTCAAAATCTGACATGTTGGAAATTGACATACTGCATTGGCAATGCAAGAGCAGTCAAAGTCTGCTGAAGTTCTTGTCCTTCCAGTGCCTTACTTCCTTATTATATTTCTCTCAATTTTTTGAAATTGCTCTCTTACTAGATGATTGACTTTTTTCCTTTCTTTGTGATCATTGTGGGGACCAGGTCAAAGTCTCTGAAGATAAA